TCCATATATTCTTCAGCTATTTCATCACTTTCTACAAAGCTGACAGGGAAATAGTCCCAAATAAACCGACAGCTGCATAGCAATGCTTTCCTCCCTGCATATCTAGGTGCCTGATACATTTATCATGTACGGCAGTGCATGGTGGTTTCCTGCATTTACATGTAAATTACTCCACCATGTCTCTCTGTGCTGCATCTACCGTCGCATCAATAGCACAGGTAATTTAATTATTTGCTGTTCAAGTTCTACATTGTTAATTACTATATGACCTCTAGCACGGTACAAAGACAACTACTATACTACATAATCGATAATCCTAATATTATAAATGGGTAAGAATTTTTGTATGGGTCTGATTTCCTGTAAAGACTACTGAACGGACGGAGCTAAAGTTTTGCCGTTTTAAAAATACGATCAGAATCCAGGACATGGATCTATTTTTATTTCGCAACTTAAATAGAGAAATTTCCCACTAGCTTTCAAAGTTTCTATATAACATTTATACATGAATAGGTTGAAAACAATGGGACACGTGTTTTTTCGTTGAGGTAATTTGACAGTTGTATCAGCATACATAATTGACCTATTTTTTATATCTTTGCCTCCATAATGTATTTTAACCGTATAAATAGGTTTATTGGCCAAACGTGGTAAATGCTAATGTAGTCTCGGGTGTCACTAGGCTCGAAACAACAGTCTCATTTTCATGGATAGTTTTTTTTTCTGTGTCTATACAAATCGCCAAAATCCTTGGACTCTGACGAGATGGATAGTGTTCATTCAACACTGGTCTATATTTATCGATATATTTAATTATGTTTTCGATGTCAAATTATTTTTTTCCGTTACCTATTGGTAAACAACATACATTTGGACACAGTAACAATCCAGCTATTCATATTTAAATGAAATTAGTATACAGTATCGCAACATAATATTAGGTTATCAAGAAAGTGAAATCAAGCATCTTTCTAAAATTAAAAGAAATAATCTATTGAAACTAAGCCAAACAAATAAATTTGTTATGTAACTGTAAGTGTAACTATTTTTAAAGAGTAAATGAAAAGGACCACATTATTCATTTTTGCTTTTCCTACCCGTTGGGTACACCAATAAAGACTAGTATGAAATAGAGAACATACCGTTTTATTAGAGTAAATATAAAAGTGCACTTGAAAGAACTCACTCAACGAATGAAACATTGTGTATGATGAGTAATGATTGACTGGACAAAAGTCACAGTGATTTACAGTCGCGGCTCCGCGGAACAGGCGCCGCCACGGTCACAGTTCGAGGTCAATAAGTGTCAAAACTGTCGCCGTTCCTACAATTGAGTTTATGACCCGTCAACTGGACAATCTGAATGCAATTGCAGTTGCTGTTAAAATTGTAAATGTATAACAAACGTTGAACGTTCACAGATATTTATTTTTTTTTTTTTGTAATAATATTTGTCCGTTTCAGGACTCGCAGTAATAGCAGTGGTTTTGTTATTGTGAAACCTGCATCTGAAAAATTCCACAGAGTTGATATTTTATGCATGTATATTTTTAAGCTATACATTGAAAACATTAGTGACTCAATGTTAAGTTTAATGAATGCAATAACTCTGTAGCACAATATACTGTTCGCAACACGTATAACGTTGTTATCCTGAATTACTTGAAAGTCACCTGCATTGTGTGGATCCATAAGTATTGAAAAAGCTAACGTCGTTAGTGTTAAATGGTTTCGAGAGCTGCCATAAGTCATTCACCCCATCCGAACTCGTGAAATAACACCATGCCCCCCTATTGTAAAGTTATTCATTAAATAGTACTGGCATACAAGTGTAACGGTTGAAAAAGTTGTCATTAATGTTGAAGTGTTTTGGAAGAGTTGGCATACGTGTTGGTAAAAACTTGTACGTGTTACAATTGTTTAAATGAACAATAAATTGTTGTTAAACTAATTCGTGTATGTGATTGTTTGCTGTTATCTATATAAAAATTGTTGGGGTCTCTTTTCCGAGTTGGCTCGGCTCTTCTACCCGACAGGTTTTCATAATTTTGGTCTTAAATTAAAGGTATTCACGCACAGATTTACCATCGAACATTTTCTTTGTCATCAATTCATGTATCTACTGTATTACTCGATCAAAAATTTTTTTTTCGACTTCTTACATCAATTAAAGATGTAATTCACCAGTTATTATAACATTACCCTGTAGGTTTTGTTTTAAGAACCTTCATTGACATACCAGCTTTCATTTGAGTGATTGTACGCTGCTGAATCACGAACAACTCAAATTGTTCCAAAAATGGAGCTATTTATCATCGATTGATAGGAAAATTATATTGCTTGAAACGTTAACAGTAACCGTCGATTCGACGGGTTTCACCTAGTTTTGTACTATTTATCATAGTATAAGGATTCCTATGAATAGTCTTCCCGAGTATAACTAGTTAGCACAATTCTAACTCACATTTTATTATTGGATAACTATGGACTTTTTCTATTACTTAAGGAACCTGTTTTTCTTGGTTATCGTTGATTTTTATATTTCAACACAACCCAGGTGTGCATTTTAAACTGAACATCACCGAATAATGAGTTTTTATGGTGCAAGAGGATATAAGCGGTTTCTGTAGCTACGCTCAATTATTAGAACACAACGATCATGGATAGATGGGCCCTGTTTATAGGTAGTGGTTCATTGATTATCAGCCACTTTAAGTGTAATAAAATGTACATCAATAGGCTTACTTTATTGATAGAATACTTTCCAAAGCTCATTGCCAAGGTCGTTGCAGCTAATCTTTCCGGTTTGAGGATCAGTCGAGCAGAACGTCAGTGAGAGGAACATCTCAGACATTCACACGTCATCCTCGACAGTAACATCCAACATTATGACTTTAAAATCCGTCAGCGAATCGTAAAGCCGTCCACCGTACTCGGATTAAAAATACTCAATGCTTACAGATGACAGACGGAGAAGGTCGGACTAGATTCAGCCTTAGTTAGAAAGCGATCTCAAAATGTTCTGTTCAATTTCCGATGGTCTGTAATCATATATGTGTCTGTTGGTTTTGGTTTTGAGCTATGTTTTCTTCTGGCGGTAGGGAAATACATTTTCAGTTATTTTAATTTATGATAGTATTTTTTATATATATGTAATAATATACACTTTTTCTTAAATTATCTGAAATGGGTCGTACAAAAATAGTATCGAACCAAAAGCTATTTAAAAAAATAAAACATGTTGTAGTATCAAACCCCATTTAAAATCATTGACCACAATTTTTATCAATTTTCTTAGGTCTCGTTTTATGTATTTTGTATACAGCTAAAACATTCAGGGAAAATTGTAAAATCCCGTGATGGTAATAGTAAAGTTTTGTAGAAATGTTGTGTGTAAATTTTTTTTAATTGGATTTGATAGAACATGTGTAGAATCTTTTTAAAACAACTCGCTTGACGAAGTTGCGTAAGTTCGTATCGGATAATGGAATTTACGGCCCTTCGTCTTGCATTACAACAAAAGAACAAATAGTAATATGTGATGCGATGCTCTTTTAACATTTCACAGCTCTAATTAGATTGAGGACAGTTTATGTTTGAGAAATTTCAACTGTTGCTCATACAAATATGAAGTTTTACGGCAACTTTGAATACTTTTAAAATGAAAGAATATTTCTGTTATTAATGGCGATTTATTGACGGATATACAACATAATATTATTATTCAGCCTAAATCGGTAACCTCGCCCACCAAAATCCATTCGGTCCAGCACTTTATTTGATTCTGTTAAACTTCGCGAAAGGACGTATGCAAATTCCAGGTATCCGGATCCCTTTATACTCACTGGTAGATAAAAATGTTATTGCCAACTTCGTTACGTGTATTGTTGTTAAAACTGTAAATAACATGGCACAATCCAGCAGATCAACTACATTATTCAACTACATTATGTATTATTTCCTGAATCGCAATCATAATACAATAAAATCTTAGAAATATTACTAACATTCACGCTCAATCACGCTCAATACTCAATAACAATTTTGCAGAAAGGAACAAAATGCAAAATCTGTTATTTGTTAGCTTGCCATTAAATAATGTTTTTATATAGATGTAGGATATATTGTGTGTTTTGCGATCATTTAATAAATTACAGAAGTGTGCTCTTTCGTGGTTTTCAATGGTCAAATGTTTTATTTTTTCTCCTATACTACGAACAACTCTAAAAAATGTAATTTGAGAAAAATGCTACCACCATTTTCTACTGAATTTAAAAAATGTAAATAACATTATTTCCTTATTTAAGTTTAAATTTGATGTTATAATATGATAAGTTGATCATGGTATGGTTTTGTCTAATTTTTTTTCTAAAAATGTCGAAAAGTACACATTTACCATGTCCACTATTTTTTATGTAGCTATTTGTAGTTTCAAAGGGAATGGTACAAGAAAATCCAGTAAACCTTTTTAGTTTGAACAACGCTTGATATTTAAAAACAAGTTATGCCTTGATGTATAGTTGTAAAAAATAAGTAAAAAGCATTAAAATTTATATTCAATCGGTGGGTGACTACATACATAAAGTACTAACATACTAATCAAGTGTTTGCAGGTTCATCCTTAAAAATTGATACGCTTTTTTTTCAATTTCTGAAAACTAAATCCAGCTGCCTTTAATTGTTGGGCTTCAGTAAACAGCTGATTTTATTCAGTAACAATGCTATAATCTCATTTACTTAACACTCATCCACCACCCCATCACCCTAAATACGAACCAAGGTGTTACGGCGTTTTATAAAATAAACAGAAGAGGAGTTTTTCTAGTTAAAGTTTAACTTCGTATTATGTCTTTCTCCTATAGTGTTAATCAAACGTTATTGGGTCTATATGTTATTTAGATTAATTAGTCCAGTAGTCCAGTAAGGGGGGACTTGTGCCAGGTAGGGGTGGGGGTAGTTCCTACCTTCACAATCCTCCGCCAGTCTACGTGGTAACGCGCGTGCGTTTGTGTCATGTAGCTTAGCACAGGTGCGCATGTACATGAAGCCTAATTAAAGTGTATTATTAAGTGTTGTGGGTGAAGTGATTTCTTTAATTTGGATTGTATATTGAAGGTAAGTGATATATTTTACTTTCATCTTAATAATTACAGATTTAAAATATTGTTTACATCTACGGTAACTTATTGATAAATGTTTTATTTACTTTGTAGCTATAATTGTTACCTGAATCTGTGCATTAATATCGCACCTTAAACGTTATTAGATTTTTTTACAAATGAATCGTGGTTTATCCCCTCAATCGCAATCAATAAAAATGATCCTCAATATATATGCAAAATAAAAAAAAGATTGACAGGATTTAAAAAAATCTGAGAATTTAGTTTTTGTGTAAGCAAAAATATAAGAAAACTATTTTTTTTACTTTTCCAGATTAATCCAAACTGAACTTATTATAAAAAAAAATACAACTTTGGAATAACTATCACATCAAAATAAATAAATACATTGATGGCATATTTAAGTGATTTTTTAAACTAGCCTAACAGAAATCAAATTATAAAAAAAAAACTGTAAGGTTATACCAACTGGGGAAAAAAAGTTATTACCAATGCAACCCTCATAATTAATATCGTCGTTATCGTATAAATCACAAAACCATATTGCTTACTACTTGTTTCAGATGACTCGCTCTTTAAAATAAAGTGGACACATTAGTTTATCAGAAACATTTAGATAGTTAAAACTAAATGAAAGAAAAATGAACACCGAGTCAGTGCTTCGTGTATCACATAGATATACAACCAGAAATTTCCAAATCTGTTACATTATAATTAATAGATTTTAAATCATATTATCAATAGCTTTCAAGTAAAATTACAGTTAAATATGAACCGATATGTATAAAATTAAAAATATATTTCTTATTTTGAGTAGAAGGTTATCCTTTACAAAGAAAGTATTACTTGTCTGAAAGAACTATATTTTTAGGTAATCTAACATCAGCTTAATGCGAGTATTTAACATCCCAGTAAAAAAGTATTAACTTCTTTTGAGACATATATTTATCTAGTTTAACGACTTTTGGCTCTTTGGATAGTCAATTGGGTTGGACATCCCACTGTAGTAAGAACTACTGAAAGTGTATCTAATTGGATAAATCCTGCATAGAAGCAGCCACCCTTAAACTTTTTATTTTTCTTTTTAAATTTTCATGCTGTTGTTTTTCATGGTTCTATAAATATTTTACAAAAGTTTTTATTTTATCACGGTTGAAAAGTTGTATAACAAAGCTTCATAGATGTTCTGTTCAAAATGAACCCGGTCCTCCTTGACAATCTCTCTAACAACTTAAACTCTCCACTTTTTAAACTGTAAGTAAAGTTAAAGTAAATATTTAACTACTTACTTGATTGATAACGAACTATTGCTGTTGGAGGTAATCTGGTTAGAACCAAATAACTAAGGAGCAAGCTAGTTAACCAGCGTCGGTTTGTATTTAAGTTACTAAGTCAAACAAAAGCCATGAATCGTCAGTTTGGGCGAGTTTATCTTTACTACGGTGACCCTCAGACCACAAGAACTAATTAAACTGTGGCAGTGAATAACAGATACCACAGAACACCACCACGGCGCTTCTATCACACCCTAGGTAGTGGCTCATTCTAGCTACGGCTCGACGAATGTTAGGCAGTCACATAAAATAAACTAGCTACACGAGGGTTTTAACTTTCTTCATAAGCACTGTTCCAATGGATTCACTTTTAAAGCTGGGTTCGTTTTGTAGGTAAATTTTGGACCATATGTCGATATATGCTATGAATACGTTTCGTCAAGCTTACCAGCAACTTTCTCAACGTGTTTTTATTATTTCAGTAGGATAATTTCGTTTGGAAAGGTTTAAAAAGTTAATAAAATACATTCCAATTAAAACACTTTTGTAATATTTTATTTACAATAAATGTTGACTTTAAGCTTAAGATTTTATGGGAAATAATAAATAAATTAGATATGTCTGCACATTTCAGTAGGAAATTCAATAAATGCAAAATGCAATTAAAAATCTTACAAAGAGTGTAATAATACACTTTGGCTTTGTATTGAAAACATTGCGGTTACCTCAGAACATAATGGTTTATGTTTTGGGGTAAATTAGTCATTATTGTTTTACATTGAACTGCTATGCACATGTGATCACTGTTTACCTTCTTTCTGTGTACCTTTAAAAGAAATTCATGTTGATGGATTTAGGTAATATCTTATCTGACTGTCTGAAGATAAATGTATACACTTAGAATTATTATGGATTCATAATCAAGGAATCAATGTATAATGCAATAAAGTACAGAAGGTGCGCTTATTTTAGGTAATTCATAATAGAATTGATAAGCCTATCAATCCCTCTGATTCACAAATCTATATTAGAATCGCATGGATTGACTTCTGATATCACCTTAAGATACTGAAATAGACATCCCATCTATGTGGACAATCCGTACCAATTCTTATACACTTAAGTCTTTGACTGAACCTGAAAGATAATTGCCTAAGCCTCCCATGACGGGTGCTCCTATTGAAGGTATATGCTTTTTGTTTAAGTTGTGCATACTGAGATGGTTTATGTGAAGTTAAAAGCTGTTGTAATTACTGTTAACTGACCTTTGGGTTGCTGTTAAATAGTTATACGCTGTTAAATAATTTACTTCAGAAAAATCTATTCGAGCCTTTGTTTAACTATGTTACGTTATTTTGTAATTATAAATATAGTTACATCCATTGATTCTTGATGCTTTATTGTAGTATTTAAGTTATTTGCTTTAAGTCCATTGTACTGTATAATCAAAAGCCCAATTTTATCTGTGTTTCATGTTTACTTATGTTTTAGTGTTTTCATGTGGACAACATGTCTTTGAGAGTGGCATTTTATTATGTCTCTATATAAAACATATATGAGCTTATAGTAAAAGTATAGATAGTTAATTGCGTTTCGTAAAGGTAGTTTTGAAGAAACGAGCTAAATGTTGATATATAGTTTTATTTATATTAATTTTTGTTGTCTAACCATACTCAACATATACCAATAACACTCTTCATACCTTGGTACACTCTTCAGCTGATCGAAATTAAGGACTTTGGGAGGATACCACATAATCTTGACAACAGGACTTTACAGAAACGTAAAGACTACTTCATGACAAATTACAGTTAATGCTGTTGGTTATCATTTACTCCATAAACGCATACATCTTATTCCAGATATGAGCATGCAATACATGTGATCGGATACGGTGCTGGGTGCCCGAGGGTAACTAATTATCGCACTCACATCCGATAAACGGCGCCTGTGGCGTCACTGCTGTGATCGTACCTACAATAATTACTAGTTACCTACAGAGTAGCTTCTAACTGTCTCCTCTGGCCATCTTGTAGATTGGTGTTGCACATGTTTAATTTATTGGGTGACATTTCTATCCAATTAGAGAGTTTTGTTTTCGTTGGGCTTTAGGTGGTGAGGATTCACTAGTCAAAAGATAGGCTCTGGTTACAGTGTTTGAGTAGTTTAGATGTGACTGGTTACAAACAGGTATATTTCAAAACATATTTTTATGTTGTTCATACGTTTGTTTCAAAATTTGATTAGAAAGTCTGTTTATATACTATGAATCATTATTACCTCAATTATCAAAGTTTTATTGTGATTTATACACAAATAATACAGCCAATACCTAGTAAATGAAAAGTATGCTAGAAATTATAAATAGAATATATTATAAATTCAATCCATATAGAATTCCAAATACGTAGTAGTTTGGACGATGGGAACATTTTAATTGAAGGAATGAGTTGAATTCAATCTTCTTTTCTTGACAAAAGCAAAATACCAGAGCAATTAATTACAATTAGAAGAAATATGAAGAACTGAGGCAAAGCCGATTCGATAATTAGACGCCATTGAATTGTCGCCTTCTCTCTCCCAAATACAAATTACTATTTTAAAATATTCTGTCAGTTCCTATAACTCTTCGAATCGCTAAGAAACTTTGTATACATTTTGTATAAATTAGTTATTTTAACTGTCTGATAATATGGAGAACACGTATTGTTTATTTCACTTCATCATATTATATTAAAGTATAAAGTATTTAAGTACATGATGATTCATAAATTAAAGTATAATTAACAATGCCATACAAACTCCATCCGCAGTTATTTGTAGCTATCTGGCTTGATTCAAATCTCTTTCAAACATTTCTTTGGATTTGTCAATCCATTCCAGATGTTACAATTTTTCAATCAGCGTTGTCTCAAAATCCAGGTTTTGAGACCAACTCCCAATGTGGGATGAACAATATTGACCACGGTTGTAGAACCAGTCTCAGTTTATAAGTCTTGTATCCATTATAAAAGATCACCTCCTCCTTAACATCATCGCCAACATGCTCCAAGCCAGTGATAATTTGATCCGCTTCTGCCTAATTATGTGATGGGTGGCCCACCTTTATAGCTAGACCTGACATTCCTCTATTGTAAACAAACATGGTATGCAGTTATTAAGCGGCAATTTGTTAAAACTTAGGTCCTTCCTAAACATGTTGATTGTACTGTATTTACCCTTATATTCGGACCTTAATGTAATAGTTACATTTAGCTACATTTTTTTGTAATTTGTCAGTTAGTTATCAGATGTTCTTTGATTATCTCGGTTAATTCATGCTGTTGGTATTTGCACATATGTAAAGGAACGGTCAAAACCATGATCTTGGTTGCTATATAATGTTAACCTAATGTTATATAGCATCTTAATCAATAACTCAATGATAAATCAATGATTGTCAGCTCGGATGGCATTTATTGCCCAGAATCGATCATGCTTAAAATCGAACTAGTGGCCGTTAGATTTGAATTGAAGGCGATCACTGTAAACACCAGCCTACACAGACAATTAATTATTGTTGCTTACTTAAGCCCTCTGGTAATATCAACTTACTAGTCAAGAGTGAGAACATACAGCATAATTTTTCAAGATCAACTTTCTTCAGGGTCTTAAATCGTGGATGAAAAGATTGATGATCAATTCAAGCGATCACTTGCTAGACAAGAGGTTCGGGTTTTTA